CTGTTAGATTCATTGAACATAACATGAACAGATTCTTCCACTTTCTAAGTACGTTTGTTATACACCCGATAGGCTTGACCTTTTATAGAATAGCCTAGAAAGATGGCTTTGTCAGATTTATCATCAAATTTACCTAGCCTGTCTTTAGTATTTAAAACATGACAAGAACACCCAAAAGGATGAAAGTAAGCAAGATTAGGTGTCTTGTTCTTGAAAATTTCATAGGGGGTTTTATTAAGCCCTTTTCTAATCAGAACACGATTAGTAACATAGCAGGTAGTACTAACAGCTTCAGCCCAAAGGAATTTAGGAAGATTATATTCAAGAAGCATGGTACGAGCACATTCAATGAGAGTCCTATTCTTTCTTTCCACAACTCCATTTTGTTGAGGAGTTCTTGGGGCAGAAAAAGTGTGAGAAATACCTGACTCATTACAGAAGTCTTCAAATTCTTCTGACACAAATTCCCCTCCATTATCACTTTTAATAGTTTTAATCTTATTTAAGAACAGCATTATAAATGTTTTGAATTTAGCAAGAGCATCATCTTTGTGAGAAAGGAAATACACCCAAGTGTATCTAGAAAAGTCATCAACAAGAACAAGCACATAGTTTTTACCACCAAGACTAGTAACATTACATGGACCAAATAGGTCCATGTGAATTAGTTCAAACATTTCATGTGAAGTAACATCAGTTTTGGGTTTAAAGGATTTTCTTGAATGCTTACCACTCACGCATGCTTCACAAAAGAAATCAATTTTAGCCTTTAAGATGGGTACTCCTCTAACAAGTCCAGACTTTGTTAGATCAACAAGTTTTTTAGACTAACATGACCCATCTTCCTATGCCAGATTAGTTCTTGTTGAAACGATGAAACAAAACACATTTCATTAAAGGCATCAAGATTACTTAGATCAATAATATACATATTATTTGACCTTTTCCCAACAAACATGACTTTTTCATCTTTATTTCTCTTAACAATGCATCTATCAGTTTCAAAGGTAACATGATATCCATTACTGCAAAGCTGGCTTATTGACAAGAGATTATGTTTTAGTCCTTCAACCAGTAAGACATTTTTAAATGAAGGCAGAGGTTTTCTTCCTACAGTTCCAGATCCAATTACCTTTCCACAACCATTATCTCCAAACCACACTTTGCCTCCATTCATTAGACTTAGAGAAGAGAATAGAAACTTCTTACCAGACATGTGGTGGGAACACCCACTGTCGAGATACCATTTATGGTCATCACTTACACCAGCAGGCTCTTTCTTTTCTTCTATGAGATCTGTTCTGGCCATGAATGCTTCATTGTCTGACTCCTGCTCTTCCTGGTCAGTTTCATAATCGCTCCAGGAGGCTTTCATAGCCTTTTCTTTTGCTTTTATAGTCTGAGGACAGTGTGCCCTGATGTGCCCAAATTTCCCGCACTTGTAGCATGCTTGAGGCTCTCTTTCCTGCTGACCTGATTCAAATTTTCTGGTCTGCTGGGACAGCAGCCTACTTTGGGAAAGATTTTTAGTACCTCCATATTTGGAGTCATCTAAATGTTGCCTTTGATCATTTTGTACTTTAGCATTCTATGGAAACGTTTGCTAACAAGGGCAAATTCCTTTTCAAAATCATTTTCAAGATCACTGTCCTTATCATAATCCAAAATTTTTGATTTGAAGGCAAGATTTTTACTACGTTTTTCATCCTCCTGACTAACCTGCTTTAAGACATGCTCATGACTTAGCAGAGATCCTATCAATTCACTAGTAGGAAGAGTAGTCAGATTCTTAGCTTCTTCAATAGCAGTTCTTTTAGGAAGCCATTCTCTTGGCAAGGATCTGAGTATCTTTCTGTTAAGGTCCTTAGTTTGTAAAGTTTTTCCTAATCCTTTTAACTTATTTATGAGAATAGTAAACCTAGAGTACATTTCATGAATACCTTCAGCCTTACTCATACTAAAAGCTTCGTAATCGTGAACAAGAAGGTCTATACGAGATTCTTTAATATTAGAGGTACCTTCGTATGTGCTTTCGAGCGTTGTCCAGATCTCCCAGGATGTCGCGCAATTCTCCACTTGATCAGCTTCATCGGGATTTATGGCGGATTGCAAGACATGCATGGCTCTCTGATTCAACTGAGCACTTTTCTTCTGTTCCACCGACCATATCGGTTGTTCTTCATCCTTCATCTCTACAGGCCCGTTTTGCACGACTAGCCAGAGCTCCTCATCGATCCCCCACATAAATTGTTTCATTCTTTTCTTCCAAGCTGTGTAATTTGATCCGGTGAAAATCGGGGGATGATTTAGGGCTGCATGACCAAAGGAACTGGATGCCATTGGATCGTGAACCTTGGCAGCAGTTAGCTTCGTCAAGAAGCAGCTCTGATACCAATTGAACAGAGGATTCTGGAAATTTGGGAATTAGGGTTTGAGAGTCGATCGAGTGGAATGAGGAAGACAGAGGAAAAGTTGCCTCTCATTTAACTCGAGTTACAATCAGTTGGGCTGAGAAGCAGGCCAAAGCCCAACCAAAGGAGTTTTGTTTCGACCGGGCTAAGGAAAAACACTAACAGAGTTTTAAGTAAGGACTCAGGCCCAACACCACAAGAGCACTGCAACTAGGATTGCTTCTCTGTAGTTAAGGAACAGAATTCCCAGAACCAGAGTGTTCACCAAGAACATGAAATAAGAACAGAGAAACCTAAGTGCAGAAACTGAAATAAGACAGGACGTTTTTAACGTGGTTCGCCCAAGTGCAATGGTCTACTTCCACGTCCCAGAAGATGGTCTAGGAGGCCCTTGATTTTTATTGATTTTGAAAGTAAAAACACAAGCAAAAACTAAGGTAAATGAATACGCAAATTAAACCAGGTCACCCTTAACCTGTTCTGCCTTGACAGAAGCAGAACCTCTACCTCAGTTTCTGTCAACCCTTTGTAATCAACGAGCTAAGCCCTTTACCACTGTAACTCTCTCCTTTTACAAAGTATCTAACCAGGAGCAATCACCCCGAGTTATATAAGCTTTCCCAGAAGTAGCTAGCCGTTGGAAACCAAACAAGGAAGGTATCAAATAGTGAGCAGCTGTCTTCAACGGGCAAAAAGAGGCAATCTCAGACTTGATTTCCTTTCCTTATTCAACAGTATGTTGTGGGTAGTTCCTATTTGTGGGTGTGAGTTGTAAAGTAGACGACCCACTATAAGTTGGTTGGGTGTGTGAGTGATTTTGGTTAACTCACAATCCACTCAGCTTTTTAACTCCAAATCATTGAATCACTAACTTGTAGTTTTACCTTAACCAAACCCAACCAAACATAGAAAAAAACCCCTCAAATTCGATCAAATCATCTTTCTAAATCTCTACTTATCCTTTCTTCCCAATTTTGAATGACTATATTCTCAAAGTTATGGTTATTCAGGGTAACCGTAAAATCTAATTTGTTTTCGTGACTGAAAATCTATCGCATATGTTTACTTCCTTCTACGATACCTTGCTAAAGCTTCTTGTTTCAGTACTAATTTGTCTTATTTTATCACTCTTTAACACCTTCGTTTTATATTTTATCATAATTATACTTAGACCACGTCTAGTCGTCTATGAAAGGAATTTAATGATATCCAAACTAAAATAGTCTATTTGTGTAAAAATTGGAAAAACTAGAGTATTAACCCTATGATTTACTATACACTTGAAGAATACAATTTCCACTGCATGACGATCTAATGATGATTGATGTACTTGTTCTCCGGGAGGCTATCGCATGGTGCTTAGAATGCGGATTTACAGCAATGAGATTTGAAGGTGATGTCTAGGTGATCATTGAGAAGATTCTCCGGAAAGATGTTAGGGATAATCGAGAAGGGTCGATTCTGGAAGATATTGTCAAATCCTTTGCTGTGAACATGGGTTTTAATGTACGATTTGTAGGTCGGCGAAACAATATGATACCTCAAATGGTGGCTAGAAAGACCCTGTCTTTGTTCCCGACTACGTGTCGTTCCTTTGATTTTCAGGCCTAGCTGAATTCCAGAATGTAACTATATCTATTTGTTTCAATCAATACATGATTATCTTTTGTAAAAAAAAAAAAAAAACTCTCAACCAAAAATAGCGACAATCCATCAACATGCAGAACTCCCAATTACTTCATCATGGTAGCTCAATAATCATACTTGTCTAGATCGGATCCCCAATAAAATTACTCTAGTTTGTGCACACATAATCTATTATCCGCATGTATATGGTTCATGAATGGTTATTAGATGGAAGTTGGAAGGTACATGTACCCATAGTTTGAGTAGAAATGTCCATGGATGGTTCTAATATTAGTTCGGAGCATGGTTGTAATGCCGGTGGCATGCCACCCGGTTGAACCTGGTTCAATCTGTGCCGGTCTTAAAACCGGTATGACGCCATCGGTATGACCGGTATGATCGACTTATGCATTCTAAGTTTAATGATATCATTTTAATGAATTTAATGAATAAAAAAATTAATTTATTATTCATTTTATGAATGTAATAGTTAAAAGTTGATGATATGTGTTGGATTGTAACTAAATTGTCTACAAATATGTTTTATATATAATTAAATACATTGGATATTAATTGTTTTCACATTTTTTTAAACCGACATGAACCGACACAAACTGGTTATATCACCGGTCGTACCATTCCACTTGCAAAACACGCACAACGGCATAAACCGGTTTGACAACCTTGGTTCGGAGCCAAATAGATTCATATGTAAGTTTAATCGTTTGAGTTTGTATTGGGCTTGGATTGAGTTAAATTTCAGTACATTTTATTTGGGTCGGGTCCAAATGTATATGTTTAGATTATGCATATAAAAAGACGATATTGATTATCTCACTCTGATTGGCTTCAACCCAATTTATACTCACACGACAACGATGAAACTAGGCCTCCGATCTTGAGGGGATTGGATATTGATCGAAAAACAGAAGCGTGCGGGAGGAGAGAAGACTGAGAGCGTTAGTCACTCATTTCCTTTCATTGTTCTTGAACATTAACGCTAAGTCACAAATGATACTCATGAGTTGGTTCTTTTTCGTCATTCTCAAATTTGAATGCAGTAGTCTTCCGTGCATCGATCATTAAGTTTGCCGCCGCTCTAATTTTTTGTTGCTATGGCCAATTATTATATTGTACATGTTGCTTCACTTCCCATTGTTTGGTGTTGGTGGATTTCATTTCAGCATTATGTAGGACAAAGTTGTTCCAAGATAAAGTTCTCTGTTGTTTCTTCTTTGCTGCACGCTAATTGCAGGAAAACAAACACCTACTGATATCAAACCCGTCTAAAGGCCGGGCGCAGAGCTAGTTCTTAGTGGTGTCTTACTTATTTACAAGTAGTAGTCTACTAGTTTCGCTGCTGCGGATTTGTAGTGCCCGGCGGCTGATGTGCTTCTTCTGGTTTACTTGTTGCGCCAGTTGACAGGGATGAGTAGGAGAGGCTCCTTTCTGTCCACGGTAATTCTGACGCCACTCTTCTCTTCCATGCTCATATCTTCGGCCTTCATCCCTTTTGGCAGTTTCCAGTCAAAGCAGTACAGCAGATTCGCCAGTGCAATTTCGACGGTCGTTATTCCCATGTTTATTGCGGGACAGACTCTGCGACCAGCTCCGAATGGCAGGTACTCGAAGTCTTGCCCTTTGAAATCCAGGGAGCTGTTTGCAAATCTTTCAGGCATGAACTTGTCAGCATCCTTCCAGTATTTTGGGTCCCGTCCCATTCCCCAGGCATTGATGTAGATCATTGTCTTGGGAGGAATGTCATATCCACTGATTTTCAAGTGAGAAGATACTTCTCTGGGGAGTAGAAGAGGGGCAGGTGGATGGAATCTCAGAGTTTCTTTGATTACCAGCTTCAGGTATTGCAAATTTTCAAGATCGTCTTCAGTTACCCTGCCTTTCTCTCCAACAATGTCTCTGACTTCATCTTGTGTTTTCTTCATCAGTCTGGGATTTGCCAACAGCTCTGCCATTGCCCAGTTCACAGTCATTGCCGCGGTGTCGATTCCACCTATGAACAGGTTCTGATTGGCAAGTAAAGTTAGTGTCCAAAGGAGTGGGGTGAAAAGTTTAAATTTTGATGGGATTGAAGTATATAGATGGGGGTAGCTTACCAGGAAAACTGCCTTGATGTTCTCTCTTCTGAAGCGAGATTTGCTACCGAGTAATTGATATTGTTCCTTCTCGATTGCCAGCAGTACATTGATCATGTCTTCTTCAGCTCCTTCCCTTCCAGGCTTAAGGTGTTCATCGATGATACGCTCGTAGAAAGTGTCGAGCTCATGGAAAACTCTTTCAATCCTTGCTTGATGACCATTGAATTTGCCAACAATCCAACTAAATGGTCGAGGGAAACACTCCTCCCCTGAAATGGTTCCCGAAACAACCTCAGCTTCATGAACCAGTTCATGAAACCTGTCTTTGTCAAAGTCGCTCCAGTTGTAATTGTACCCAAAAGTCATCCTGAAGGTTATGTTTCTTGTGAGAGAGTAACACTTCTCGGTGAGATCAACTGTGGAGGCAGATGCTGATATTTCAGAGATGGAGTCGATCAGCAGGCCAACTTCTTCCTCCCGAACAAAACGAAACGCCTTCGTCCTCTTTAAGCTGAAGAGCTCGAGTATAAACATTTTCCTCATGAACCTCCAGTTGTCTCCATAAGGAGAGAAAGCCACGTCCAGGTAGTTGTATGACAGCCTCCTAGTTCCAGCCAAGGATGGCCGGCTGCAACTGGCAAGGTCATGAACTCTCATGACTTCTTTGGCGGCTTTAGGGGAGGAGATGATCACGGCGGGTATACGGCCGAAGTGGAATTGCATAACAGGGCCATATTTCTTGGCAAGTTGCCAGAGTGACTGGTGCGGATGAGCACCAAGTTGATACAAGTTGCCCAATATTGGAAGTTTAGGAGGACCAGGTGGTGGAAGCTTCTGCAGGTTGCTGCTTTTCCTTCCTGATAAGTTGATCTTGTTCCTGATGATGAGAACCACAAGGGGCAGAAGTAAGGGAATAAGGAGCCATATGACTGGGACATCAGGTAGAGCCATTTGTGGGCTGAGAATGGTGAAATCCCTCATCGAGATGCAGTCCTTAAGTAGTGCTATAGATACTTAAAGATTTGGGTTTCTCTTCTTCTGTCCTGTTAAATATTTGAGTTTGTGTTTACTTTTTTTTTTTTTTTTTTTTTTTTGCCCAACCAGTACCAGCGGTGCAGATCGCAACCCAAGGCCCTGGGGTTTTGGAAAATACTGAGCCGCCATGCTTTTCGTCTACATTTGTCTAATGATTATGCTTGTTGCTATGTGATGATGGGATGCGTGGTGCCCGTTTATGCTTTTCATAAAGTACAATCGGTGTATTGTGATCATCTCTGAGCTTAAAAGAAAACAATAAAGAAAATATATTACTTTAAGATAAAGATTGCTTATCTGATTCAATGAAAAGGTTGGGTGCAAGACCGGTTTATGCCGGTGCGCCGGTTTTACAAGTGGAATGGTTCTACCAGTGGTACAATTAGTTTATATCGGTTTGTGCTGGTTACAATAAAATTTCAATTGTTACAAGCGAACCTTCACTATAAGATGAAACTCATAACAAGCATTCATCGTTTTCATCCTAACACAATCGAAAGATTAGCAAAGCTAAGTGAGAAACCTACTATTTCAATTGTAAAAAGTAAAAATCAATGAATCAATGCTCGCTAACAAATTAGATCCCCATTCTATTTTGGTGAATAAAAATAGGCAATCTTGTAGTGGTTGGGGAATAATAACAAACAACGTACCGGTTGGGTTTGGGCTTGGGAAACTTGTGAAACGGAGGGACGCTTTGGTCTTCTAATTTTTTTAACAGTCAGTTTAAAACGTCAGCGTTTATTATAAGTGATCGGAATCTGAAACTGGTTGGACCACCCGGAATTCCCAGTTTTGACCGGGTTTGACAGGTTTTGACCGGAATTGACTGAAGCATTATACCGGTGGCATTCCAGCCGGTTTCATCACCGGTACCGGTTGAACCTGGTTCAACTGGCCGGCATGTCACTGGCATGACAACCATGGTTGGGTGTCTTTTCCGAATTTTTAAGCTACTAGTATGGTATTGCATCGCTAAAAAATATAATTTAGCGCGGAAAGCAAAATTCGAATGGTGAAGGGGTTCTCGGATGCGGTTACGCCGGCCTCTCCGTGGCTCGGCACTTGCTAACAACCTTTTAGGGTTGAGGATCAGAAGCCTTAGTTCATTTCATTTCTCTCACAGCTTATATAGCTGGGTAGTCTATTACAGACAGATTGGAAGAAGAAGACAAAGCTTGGGTCCTAAGCAAGTACAACTCAGAAATGGAAAGAAATAGAAACAACAAGTTTAGGGAGCTATTGGTAATTTGCCAGAAACGACATCACTCCAGCTTCTCGGTTGTGGTCTCGCCGAAACGGCGTCGTCCGGTTTAGTGAGAGTGCATCTTGTCACAACGACAGCGTTTGAATCAATCACAATGGCTCTTGGCACAATGGCGACGTTTGATTGATGCAACGGTCGTCTTCTCCGGTTGCGCTGGATTCAAATTTGGGGAAAAACTGATTGTTTTCCCTGATACTTGCTGAAGGTAAATTTCAAAGCTCGACAATTAATTTGTACTAGCAAGGAAGCCCGCGCTGCGCGACGGGGCAGAAATTAGTGTAACCATTAATATGTGATTATAAATAGATCATGAATCTGGTTATAACGTAAACAAAAGATACTAAAAAATCAATGTTTGGCACAATCCTTGTCTGCATAGAGATTGATGTTGTTGTTCAAGTGCTTTGAGTCTTTGCCCACATTTTCGGATAACAGAAATTAAATTTGGAAGGAAAGCAAGAGCCTAACCTATGCAAACGAAGAAGGAAAACCCAAAAAAACATCAATTTGCAGCTGAAGTGATTGAACCACTAAGTAACAACCTGAGGGATGTGTTAATTCTTGGTGGATGAACAACTTCAATAAGCTAAACAGACAACAACATCTATTTGATTTGAATGAGAGAAACCCAAAGCAGATCATAAAGGTAAGTCGGATGAAATTCTTCAAGCATATCAATTCAACGCTATCATAGGTCAATAAAACGACCAAATGTTGAATGAAAGGCACGGTAATGCTACTGACTGAAGGCAACCAAATGAACAAATACTCCAATCTCATACTGCGATATAAAAAGGGTTTAAGCTGATCCTTATAATGCTATAGCGACAAAAGTGGAAAGAGACCCACAATAACGGAACATTTAAAAAGGGAAAAATTGAAGTAAAAAACAGTTCGATAGAAAAAATGAAACATCAAAACAATTAAACAATGAAGTAAAAAATTGTGAAATTGAACAAAAGAGACCCTAGATGGTGTACTCGATTGAATATCTATAGCAGCAAACTCATGAACATATACGCTGCACTCTATCAAACACCTATAGCAACAAATGGAACCTGTCAAATGGGAAACTATTAGATCATAACAGAATTGCATATGACTGGGGAAGGAAACAGTACCAAATAGTTGAAAGAAATCACAAAATTAATTTTGGATGAGTTACATTGACTGTTTGGCATTGACAATTATCCTATGAGTATCCAAAACAAAATAAAAATACCAACCATACTTGAAAACAAAATCAATATAACACCTCAAGTTGAACTGCTAAAGTGAATATGAAAAGTAAGCACAAGTTACACCTGGGCAACACAAACCTGCATTCATTCTTATTTTAGAGACCAAACATGATTTCTAATTCACCGTGTAAAATAATAGAACATAACATCAACATAAGAATTTAAGATTTTGAAGTGGCATATGATGCTAAAACGTCATTCGTGGAACCTGATGAGCATTCTCCTACTGATTCAAAAAATCGGCTAAAAGAATGCAAGAAAATATAGGAAAACATAGCAGATCCAGATAAGAACACAGACATTACCTGAAGCCTCTCAAGAATCAATGGTTCGCCAATGACACCAAATTATACCAGCATCACTTCCAACAGCATATTCCCAAGTGAGAGCATATAAAACTGAAATGAGTATATTGCTTTTAGTTCAGAGAAGCGTGTGTAAAAAAACAGTAAATTACCACGTATTGAAGGAGGTCCACCCTGTTCGTACAAGAAATCAGCAACCTCCCCAACCTTGTGGATCCAACGACTCGTCATCCAGGAATCTTATGTTCCTGAAGTTCTTAGGGTCTATCAACCAATTAGAAATCATTTCAGCTTCCATATTCCACCACAGAGGACGACATTCGTTGTCTCCTATTCCATCCACCAAAATTACATCTTCTAGAATCCTGTAATGAAGTTAAAACAATAACACTTAATCAAATGGTTCTGTTATTTATGCACAGTTGATTCACTACCAGCGGCGCTTGCTCCCGAGCAATAAAAAAACAATATGTGCAAGATCAAGAACATAAAAACCAATACCAACATCGTTAATCATAATCCAGCAATACTCAATTGTTGTGTGAGAGATAAATATTTGGATTTCAGTGGTAATTTCCTCTGGATTCTAAAAGAAATCCAATATCAACACTCAAACCACACCTATTCGTGAAGATCAAAAGTATCATAAAAGCACATAAGAAAATACCTGAACAACATAGTCATCTGACTCATCTCCACCACTCTATACGCCTGGATGCACCTAGCAAATGACCATTGAGATGACTCAGCAACAAAAGCAGAAATCACTCTTTTCTACTTGTTTAGATTCTCGTCTTAAAACCAGCGAAACAGTCATACAAAAAACACACAGGCATTACTCGGATTGATGCATATCATGAAGGGTTAGAAGGGCATATAAGGAATAGGCTAGTGCCGGTGTGACCCCAATCCGAAACTGCAGTTGTTTGGTAGTGATAGACTGAGCAGAATACCCGCTCACCAACTGGCCACCATGACGATACATCCTCTCAAGAGGCAATACGATGAAACGCTTCCCTGGAAAAAGCAGAAACCCATTTCAAATTTATCATCAATTCATAAAATGGCTTGAGTAATCAAATTGAAGAAACTAACAGTTCTGTGTTCATAGAGTGGAAAATGGCGCCAAGTGAAGATTCCAACACAAAGTCCGAACGTTCCATAGCAACAGTGGAGCTAGGAGAGATCGGTAGCAGGGAGCAATGAATCAATGGATATGCTTTGTAGAAGGACAAAGGGGATACCTCAACATCAATACTGTAAACATAGAACCCCAAAAGGGGATTAATTGGGATTCCCAGCGTTCCAGTAACGGCGAAGACTGACTGTTGGGTTTTTGCTGCATCCCGGAAATTAGAATCACAAGTTGGAAATAAGAAAGAGAGACCCAAATAAAAGGAAACTAACAATCCCCAAATTACCAATTAAAATCCCATTATGAAACTGGAAAGGAATAGAGGAGATAGTGACATGTCATCGGTGGGGAGGTTCCTTGCATTGCCTTTCATAGACTTACCACCAGAAAAGTGATCGGATTTGTGCCATAAAAAAAGGGAGCTTTGTGCAAAGCAAATCCGGAAAAAGAAAGTGACCATGGGAAACAAGAATAAAAGGTTAGATTCAAGAGAAGAAGGGACAGGAACTGCAGCCAGCAGTGCGAGTTAGAGATCGTTCTGGAAACCGGTTCTTCTTCTTCATGAGACGAAGAGAGAAATGTCGATGGCGACTTCTTCTCACTTATCCCTTGGCAGGAATCCGATAAAAACAAAAACATATCAGAACCAAAACAAAGAAAGCCAGACACCCAGAGTATAAATAGAGCAAAATTTTAAAAGAAGAGACTTACCTAGAGAGCAGTGGGTAGTTCTCGTCGCCTCTGCTACCTTTGGAAATATACAACGGCGACAGTTCCTCTTCTCCTGCTCTTGTCAAACACGCAAATAAAAAAAACGTCGGATAGGATTAGCAGGAAGCAATAAATTTAAAATCTAAACATACCTTTTTTTCCAAAATTGGAAAGTAAATTAAATCCATAAAAGAACTCACCTTAGACGGCCGCTGTCCCATCGCCGACAGCAAGCCATGGTTCCTCAGGCTAATTACCTTTCCTCCTCCGCCTATATTTTATCCTTCCCTCTTCCTGATCGAGAACCCCATAACAAAAAGAAGCAACCAGAACTCGAGCAAAAAAAAAAAAAAAAAAAGCGCTTCTGACCTAAGTCATCGTTCCCTGTACAATAACCTCCGTCCATAGCAGGCCTTCCCATCACCGCCATCGCCGTACTTACCCTTGCCGCCATCGCCGTTCACGTCTTTTCTCCTTCCCTCTTCCTGAGCGAGAACCCCATAACAAAAAGAGAAGTAATCAGAGCTGAAGCAAAAAAAAAAAAAGGAAAGCGCCCATGACCTAAGTCGTCGCTGCCGTTACAATTACTGGTATCTGCAGAAAAAATAAGCATACAATTGGTAACTACAAGTGAGCATGGGAAAGGCCTGTAACACTAACGACAGCACCAACCACATCTGCAGAAAAAATAAGCATACAATTGGTAACTACAAGTGAGGAACCTGGCTTCAGTAAATGGACAGAAAGATCGGGAAGATGAAACCAAATGGACGACCTGTCAGATAAGACGTCGAGCGAATACGGGAGTGGAGAGAGCTGAAGGGCACGTATTCGAAAGCTTCCGGCCAGAAATGGGGAGACGAAGCAGTCACGTCTTCGAATTTCGTGTCAATTGAAAGAACGATGGCTAATTTGTGGGAGCAAGAATGATAAACAGGACCAGGAGGTTGAACCCGGAAACCACTAACGAAGTAGACATTCCCCAGCTGCAAGAGGGCGGAGAAGTGATCGGTCAAATTGGCCGGAGCCAGACCCTGAATCAAAGTCCCCTGCAACAAAAACAAAGACAACATCAACAGACAACAACAGGAAAAACGCAAATAACAGCAAGCAAGAGAAACAAAAGTACACCTCTTCATCATTCCAAAACGTACAGTAGTTAAAAATCAGAGAAGGATCCTTCAAACCATAGGACCCCCAAGCGTGCACCAGGCGTAGTTTGAGAAACGTGTGCAGGCCGTCATTTGCACCAACATCCAACAGAAGCTTGAGTAACCATGACGGAAATCAGAGAAAAACTGAAGAACGCGCATCAACAGAAAGGAGCAGATAAGGAGATTGAGGAGCAAACCGAGAAAGCAGAAGATAAGGAAAGCAGAGAGCAAAAGCAGCCGGACTCCAGGCGGTGGGCAACCCATCGGTGTGAAAAGACAGGCCGACCTCGGCCGGACCTCGAGGGAACCCAAAAGCAACGGCGGCCGAAAAAGCTGAGGAAGAAAGAGATAGACAGGAGGAAGGAGCGTCGCAGACCTGGAGGAAAAGAATGGAGATCATTTGGGTAAACAATGGATTGGGAATAGAGAGAGACAATAGCTTCTCTAGTTCTAGCTTCTCTAGCCCGACGCTTCTTTTTCTGCACCCGCCATCAAATATTAAAAATTAATTACAGCAGCAGATAGAATTTGTAGGGTGGCGTTTCTTTTCTGTAGCCACTATCAAATATAGTAAAGAACTAATCACAGCAATGATGAAATGAAACTAACGGCAGCAAAACGTCAGCAACTAATTACGGTAATGCCACCCTTTGGATGGGACACTAAGGAACAGTACATTTTGGACATGTCTTATGATAAGAAGAATGGTGTCTCTTTCTTTTAATGTCTTCCACCAAGAGAGCTGAGTTTTCGAGTTTATTTGTTTGACCAAGCGGGAATTGGTGGAGTTGCTTCTGGAGGTCTCTTTCACCCTTACTCTCACAAAGGTTTGTCTGTTTTCGGCACTAGAGCTCTAATCTACACACTGTTCATTTGCTTTAGATGCTGTAGAATATTAGTTCGATGGCGGTTTGTTTTCTTGTAAGTAAACTTCTTTGACGAGGTGCTGAGCGTTGGAAAGACACCTTAAGCCTTCGAAGTATTGCAGAGATGGCAGCTCTTCATTCCAAGGACTCCTGTCAAGCTTCTGATGGCGTCATTGCTAGGAGGTTTGCTTATGACTTCGTTGTGCTTATTTTCCCCTTAGTCTCTTTGTTTCCCCATGTTGTACCGTTTTTGGTGTGATCCTGTGGTCGATATATCACAACAAGCCTTTTGCTTTCCTGGTTAGTGATTGGAGGACTTGCTAAACTCGAGGGGACCAAATGTAGTCTTTGAAATTTTTTTCTTCTGGCATTGCCGTGAAAGATTTCAGGCCAATCTCATGGTTTAGTTTGCTCTAGCCCTTGCTGTCTCTGCATCAGGGGAATCTTGCGGGCAGCAGTGAACATGAAGACCTTGGAGATTATGACTGATGTAATTCCTTCGGTGATGTTCATCAATTCCAAATGTTGAATGGATTTAGTGCAGACTTAAGAGTGATAATTTTTTTTTTTTCCTGGCTTTCTTCTGCAACTAGAATGCTCAGAATTGCAGAATCGAGACAATTGGTGAAGACTATACTCAAATACTTGTACCAAATATATATGCACCTCACAACGTAGCCTTTTATATGCTTGCTGCAGCTAATGTACCCTCTCCACTATCTTGCGGTCAGGAGAATCAATCCTACATGAACTGGATCATTTTCCCTGCTGCACTGCTGCTCAATATTCATGGCTTCAAAGCTGTTATCTTGCATAGGGATTATTGTACCTCTCGTGTCCCTTCCCATCGTTCCCATTTTCGGTTTGCCTCTGGTGTTGTTGGCTTTAATTTTAGCATTCATTGTGCGGTAACAAACCCCATATAGTAGTAGCACGAATATTTTCGAGTAGTAGTAACACATAGTTTAGTCTTTTTTATTTGCAAGTAGTAGTAGCACATATATTTTTCAAGTAGTAGTAGCACATATGCTTGAGCCTTTTTTATTTGCAAGTAGTAGTAGCACAAATATTTTCACTATGGATTCATATTGCTCTGGTGATGTGCTTCTGCTGGTTTACTTGTTGAGCCAGTTGACAGGGACGAGTAAGAGAGGCTCCTTTCTGGCCACTGTAAGACTGACGCCACTCTTCTCTTCCATGGTCATATCTTCCGCCTTCATCCCATTTGGCAATTTCCAGTCAAAGCAGTACAGCAGATTCGCTAGTACAATTTCGCCAGTGATGATTCCCATGTTAATTGCTGGACAGATTCTGCGGCCAGCTCCAAATGGCAGGTACTCGAAGTCGTGCCCTTTGAAGTCCAGACAGCTGTCTGCAAACCTTTCAGGGTTGAATTTATCAGCATTCTTCCAGTAGTTTGGGTCCCGTCCCATTCCCCAGGCATTGGGCTGGCGGATGGAGTCTCAGAGTTTCTTTGATAACAAGCTTCAGGTATTCCAAATTTTCAACATCATCTTCAGTTACCCTGCCTTTCTCTCCAACTCTGCCCCTGACTTCGTCTTGTGCTTTCTGCATCAATCTGGGATTTGCCAACAGCTCTGCCATCGCCCAGTTCACAGTCAATGCAGCAGTGTCAATTCCAGCTAAGAACAGGTTCTGAGTGGCAAGTAAAGTTAGTGTCTGATGGAGGAAATTTTTTCAGATAGAGGTGGAAACGTAGTCTATTTATTGGGGAGGCTTACCAGGAAAACTGCCTTGATGTTCTCTCTTCTGAACTGAGATTTGCTACCGTGTAGTTGAGATTGTTCCTTTTCGATCGCCAACGGCACATCAATCATGTCTTCTTCAGCTCGTTCCCTTCCGGACTTAAGGTGTTCATCGATGATATGCCCGTAGAAAGTGTCAAGCTCATGGAAAACTCTTTCAATCCTTGCTTGATGACCATTGAATTTATCGACAATCCAACCAAACGGTCGAGGGAAACACTCCTCTCCCGATATGGTTCCTGTTACAACCTCAGCTTCATGAACCACTTCATGAAACCTGCCTTTGTCAAAGTCGCTACCATGGTAATTGAACCCAAAAGACATCCTGAAGGTTATGTTTGCTGTGAGAGAGTAACACTTCGCGGTGAGATTTAAGGTGGAGGCAGATGCTGATATTTCCGAGATGGAGTCAATCAGCAGGCCAACTTCTTCCTCCCGAACAAACCAAAATGCCTTCACCCTCTTTAAGCTGAAGAGCTCTAGTATGATCATTTTCCTCATGAACCTCCAGTTGTCTCCATAAGGTGAGAACCGCACTTCCAGATAGTTATATGTCAGCCTCGTAGTTCCAGCCAGGGATGGCCGGCTGCAACTGGCATGGTCGCGAACTTTCATGACTTCTTTGGCGGCTTCTGGGGAGGAGATGATCACAGCGGGTATCTGGCCGAAGTGGAATTGCATAACAGGGCCATAGTTCTTGGCAAGTTGCCAGAGTGACTGGTGAGGCAAAGCACCAAGCTGATACAAGTTTCCCAATACTGGAAGTTTAGGAGGACCTGGTGGTGGAATCTGCTGCAGGTTGCTGTTCTTTCTTACTGATAAGTTGATCTTACTCCTGATGATGAGAACTACAAGGGGCAGAAGTAAGAGAACAAGGAGCCATATGACTGTGAAAACAGGTAGAGAGGCATCAGTTGGTTGAGCATGTTGAAATTCCTCCTTGATGTGAAGTCCTTAAGTAGTGCTAGAGAAGTACTTTTAAAGGATTTGGTATGGTTTTAGTCACTTGCAATTGATGGTCCTTATTTCCACAGAGCCACAAGTTTGTGTTTATATTCTTTTGGCGCAAGCGGTGCAGACCGCAATCCAAGGCCTTGCACAAATTAGGAGTTTTGGAAAATACTCAGCCACCATGGATTCGACTGGGTTCTAATTATTGTGCTTGTTGGGTGATGGTGTGATGTGTGGTGGCTGTTTATGTTTTACAGAAAGTACAGTCTGCACATTGTGTCTTTCTCGTCCAAGACAACATTAAAAAGACGGGATGACCTCAAGATGGAGATTGCTATCCTGATTCAATGAAGATATTAGGTGTCTTTTTCCATTTTTAGGGCTACTAATATAGTATTGCACTGACATATCCGTGCATGAGGATTGCTTAGTAAGTAAAGTTGATAACTATATACTTTAATGCGAAAATCAAAATTTGAAAGTAGTAATCTTTTCCTTTTCTGTCTCATGATCTGCAACTTCGTTCTTTTTAGGTGTGCTTCATTAGAAGCATTCTGTTTTGAGGGTTGTGTTTGTATGAATCAGGTGGTTCCGTATGATTGGGTTATATATGTGTTTTGATGCTTGGAATATGCATGTGTTTTTGGGGTTCTGGACCTTCTTTGAATTGTTCCGGATTGCTGTCAACTCTACTAATTCACTCCTAGTCTACGATTCTCATTGCCTGCTTGCCTGTCTCCTGTTTGGGTCGCTCTTCACTACATAATGAACATGCCTTTTCAACAGGTCTCCATTTTCAGGACACAGAAGAGCGATGATTCCGTAAAAGGTCAGGACTGTCGGGATGATATACTGAAACTACTGAGGAATTGGCTTATGGTAACACATTAAAATCGGCATATCCATCATTGATAAAAAAAAACATGTTGATTCATATGTTAGTGCCTTTGCGTTTTCAGATAGTGTTTTGTGACTACTGTAACCTGTGCGCCGCAGTACATCTTGTTGCCCAAGGGCTGTGAATGGTAGGTTGGGTAGGAATTTTCTTATCTCTATTTGGTGCAACCTCTAACAGTAACATCTGTATAGAATGAACCTGAAATTCTCTCTGTAACCTTCCTTACTCTTTGCTCCTATGCCCAATCTTATGAAGCTCTGTTATGTTATGTATGTTGAATGTCTTTGGTAGTTTGGTGTCTTTCTAACACATAGAAGTTAAGTTTCTCTAAGGGGATTCGAAAGGCAAACCCTCCCCCCTTTTTGTTGTGTTTTGATGGGCCTAAAAACTACACTAATGGGCTTTCCTTGGTAAATGGGCTTTTGTTGTCTCTTTAGACCGAACCCAGACATCCGATCTGTTTAATTCGTTATCGGCAGTCGAGGGATTGGGTTTTACCGCGCCTCCGGCCGTCGGCAACAAAGATTCGCCGGCCGCCGTTCAGCGGCTTGGTTGTTCCCTACAATGGCACAACTCATCCCCTCTTCAATTCCCTCTTCTCCTGCGAGTCCCTTCAGGTATTTTTCACCTCCCTTGACTCAATTCACTTGCTTGCTCTTGTTGCTCTCTTCGCTCATCGTCGGCGATATTCTGAACAACTACGTCTCAGATGCGCGGTTCTCGGCTGCGGTTTCGCCGGTCTCTCCGTGGCTTGGCACTTGCTGAAGGTAAAATTTCAAAGCTGAACAACTGATTTACATGGTGTCTTGGTCTTTCAATTTATTTTCCGCCATTCATTTCTGATAATTTCCCGGTCCTGTGTCGAACAGAACAGCCCCAAAGAGCTGCGGCTTCGAGTTGATTTGTTTGATGAAGCGGGAATCGGTGGAGGTGCTTCTGGAGTTTCTGGAGGTCTCCTTCACCCTTACTCTCCCAAAGGTTTGTTTGTTTTTGGCACTAGAGCTTTACACACGATTCATTTGCTTTAGATGCTGGTAGAATTTAAGTTCCGTGGGGGTTTGTTTTCTTGTAGGCAAGCTTCTTTGGCGGGGTGCTGAGTGTTGGAAAGAGACCTTGCGGCTTCTGAACGTTGCAGAGATGGCAGCTCGTCATTCCAAGGACTCGAATGAAACTTCTGATGGTCTCATTGTGAGAAGGAGGTTTGTTTATGAATTCCTTATTCTTGCCTTGGTTCTCATGGTTTTGCTGTACCATTTTCATGTGAAACGCTTTGGTTGAGCTGTCGTGATAAGAATTGCTTAACTGAAGCCCGGGAGGCCTTTTGCTTTCCTGATTAGTGAATGGAGGACTCAAACTTATTGATCAAATCTTCTAAATTCGGGGACCGAATGTAGACTGTGAATTCTTTCTTCTAGTATTGCCATTAAATCGCCTTGTTGAGGTTACCTCGTGGCTTATTTTGCTTGCCCTTACTCTCCTCTGATCAGGGGGATCTTGAGGCCGGCAGTGAACATGAAGAATTCGGAAATAATGACCGATGTAATTCCTTTGGTGATCTTCGATTCCAAATCTTGAATGGATTAAGTGCGCGACTTTGGAGTGATATCTTTTTCATGTCTTTTCTGCAACTAGAATGCTCAGAATTGCCATCCGAATTGCAGAATCGAGACAATTGGTGAAGACTATGCTCAAACACTTGTACCGAATATATGTGCACCTCTGGACGTAGCCTTTTATATGCCTGCTGCTGTTAATGTTTACCCTCGCCCCTATCTTCAGGTAAAGATAATCAATCCCATATGAACTGGATCATTTTTCCCTTTCTGGAGTTTGTAGTATGTGACTGTTTCTTTACCATTCTGCAGGCACTGTTCTTAGCTTGCCAAAATATAATGAAAGAAAATGATGTTGGACAGGAGTTGTATTTGCACAAGAAGTTCATTCATAACCTCCTTGATTTAGAAGGTAAGGGAAGTATATACCAAATATATATCCCTCTTCCCTTGTTCTTCTTCCATTGTTGGATTTTAACCTAGACGTCCCTTTAGGAGAATATGATGCGGTCATAATATGCCTTGGTGCAAAAGTAGATATGTTGCCTGAGCTATCAGGGAGACTTCCTTTGAGGACATGCAGAGGAGTAGTTGCCCACATGCAATTGCCCCTCGATATGGGGTAAAACTTCTCACATCATCTCAAATCGTAATGACCGTTAATGCTAGTGACCCAGAATTTCACATAAATGCCTTTTATCAATTTATGTAACCACTTTTCTCAGGGAAGACTACCCAGAACATGCACCATCTATATTATCGGATGCGTGGCTTGCCATCCAAGGAACTCGCAGTTTATACATGGGTTCAACATGGGAATGGAAATCAACGAATTCTTCCGCACACGTCTCAGCAGATGAAGCTTCAAAGGCTCTTGAAGAGCTTCTGCCGAAAGCATCCGTCTTTTATCCAGGAATCAAGAACTGGAGTTTCGGTGGAGCTAAGGCGGGTCTGAGGGCTATGCCACCATTAACTCCGCATGGATCACTTCCGCTTTTGGGTTGTGTGAACAGTCTTGTAGGTCAGAATTGTAGGTCCAGATACTGGTTGTTTGGGGGACTTGGTTCAAGAGGTTTACTGTACCATGCTTGGCTCGGGAAATTGATGGCTCAAGCTGTGCTTTCTTGTGATGAACAAATAATCCCCTCTGAGCTTATCGCTTGGAAGAACATCAAAAGATGATTCGAACTTGATTATATGTAGTCATTGAAGATCACTGAGATCAAATTGATCATGTACATAATCTTTCAACAAACAGGCAAGTCAAGGGCTGAACATTTCCGACTTGTAAACAAAACCAGCTGAACTAAATCAAAAGTGCCTGAAAACTCACAAGTATATCTTACCATAACCTACTCATCTGAATTGCATTAACCAACCATACGAAGAAAACATGTTATTCCTACAAACTTGAAAAGGCAGTTGCCAGCTTCTCCTAGCTAGAGGTCCATACATAAACCTGCCCACCGCCGGTGCCACCAGCGAGCATTCCAACCCGGTGAGGATGGGCATCAAATCTGCACGGAATTGCTATAATTTCTGAGCCTTTCAAGGTCGTAACGACTCTGTTTTCAACGGGAGAGATCACATCAACTCCGTTCTTCTTGTTACCAATGAAAATGTAAGCGTCACCCCATCCCCATATTGCTCTGGTTCACCACAACAAAGAGTGAAAGAGATATTCAGGACTCAGAAGAGAGGAGAAGCTACACAAGTACCTTTCTGGGCAATCAAAAGTACCTGAATTTAGAGATCCATCTGCCAGTCTGATTATCATGGGGTATCATACAGTTATCCTCGAAATCTATCCCACTGTGAATTCCCACGTGGTCATCAAGACTAAAACAACAAGAAGATAGAGTAGATAGAAGCCATGAGTGAACACAACCAGTAGCTACAAAGGTCAATTGCATAAAGGTCCACTGAACTTGTTAGTGTAGTTTGGATCAACCAACAAAACAGTAAATTAATGAATGGAAGTTCAGCAGTGAAAATAATGAATGAAACCACAAGCTAATGGTGAATTCAGAGTGGTGTAAAACAAACTTACCTTGTAGTTGCAAGGGAACAGCCAGAAGGTGAGAAGTAAGCTGAATTCACAGCCCTATTGTGACTGACCATCTTCAAACATCTGGGTTGGCCAGAACCGACACATCTCAAATCCCAGATCCGAGCAGTCTTGTCTTTCGAAGCAGTAGCCATAATGTTAGGGTTCCTTGGATTAAAATGGATGGTATTGATCCTGTCCTCATGAGGAAACCACTGTGATGAAACTTTCCCCATCTTATCATCAAACACAGTCAACCCTCCTAGTCCTTCACCAAAATACAAGCTCTTGTCATCGTTTGGTCGCCTCGAGAGACAAAATATACCATCATCCCCGTGGTGCACAAGCTCAAACACTTCCTTCTCGGCATCCATCATTCTAATGTAGCCATCATAACAGCTTGTAATGATCTGCACAATATGAACAGAAATGAATCAAAGCCATTTAAGAGGCGATTCGGATTGGTGGATCCTCGAAATGGATCGTCGATATTTTACCTTGGAGAAGCAGGATTCGTGAAACAGAATCGCCCCGATTGGCCCAGTATGCGGTCTGTACAAGTGTACTACTCCATTCTGATGATCATCATCATCTCTCGTAGAATCCATATTCCAGAATCCAACCTGTCCCGACTTGCTTCCCACTACAACCATCCTCAAATCGCTGCAAGGCAGGAACTTCACATTCATTACATTCCCTGTGACTACCTTCGCAATGTTATCCGTCTCCAGTTTCATCGATCCCAAATCGAGCAGGCTCTCCACGTCCTTCTTCTCTTCCTTCATTCCCACGTTACAGCCCTCGGTTTTGACTCTAGCTGAATCGAACGAAACCCCGTATTCTGCTTCCTCCTTCTTAACCACCTCTCCTCCGGCGGATTCTGCCTTCACGGGCGGCGAAACAATTTGGGGATTTTTATTGATCGACAACAGAGTGGCAACCAGCGTTCCATTACACCCAGCACCGTCGTGGGCGGCGGCCATGCTCAAGGGACCTTCTACGCGAGGGGAGACCTTCTCAAGAACGGGGACGCCTCCCACGCCCTCCGGCGGCATCCCTCGTGTCCGAAGCGAGCGCCGGTTGACGAACGCAGGTTCGGATTTCTTCTCTGTAGTCGGTTTGTACGACTTCGATTCCTCGACGCTGACTCTGGAAACGATCGGAATTCAGATGACGGAATCGATAATCGAAAATAAACAGAAAAGAAAAAAAAAGGAATAGGAAAGAAAAGATAGAAACCCTACCTCTGGCGCTTGGCAGTACCGGTGAGCTGAGAAGCTTTGGACGGGATTTTCAGGGCAGCCACCATTTCATCGTTCCGCCGGATGGTCTCGAGCCGCTTGCGCTCGTACTCCGTCAGTTTATCCTTCGGGGCCATTGCTTTGCAAGGTTTCGAAGGATTGAGAGAGACCTCGGCGGCAGGGGAAACAAAGAGAGTGGCTAGTAAGATGAAGCGGGGTGGGAGATAATAAATAGAGCTGAGTGAGGAAAAAGGAAGATGGGTGAATGGAACTATAGCGGCCGGTGGCAGAATTTTGGCGGGAAGATAACTGTAAAGCTAGAAATATTAGTTTGCTCAATCTTCCAGATAGCTAGAAATTATAGCATTAAAGAGAATGGATCAATATTAAAGAGAAAATAACACAATTACGATCAGGGGCGTAGTCAGGATTTTGTCGAGGATGGGTCCATTTAGAAAAAATACATACGATAAAATAATTTTATTAGCTTTCTAAACCGTTCATGATATAATTTTGTATTTGCAAAAACTTGGTAAATTAAATTATATGTCAAAACTATCAAGAATATCACCATATATGTATCAAACAATTATTTATGATTTAGTTAGACATTTGCTTTTGAATCATGTTCTTCGTCTAGACCGTTTAGTATCATTAACTCGAGTTGTTAGGAAAGATTTAATAATGAATCTAATACTATTTAGGAGAAATTTTACAATGGTATATAGTATTGGTGCTATAGAATTTTGCCTTTATGATACAATTTAAAAATGTACGTTTACGTTATGGTACAACTTCATATTGTACTTATACTTTTTGTACAAATTCTTTTATGGTACAACTTGAACTTGTACCTTTATGTGATGGTACAACTTCAAGTAGTAAAGTTGTACCATAACATAAAGGTACAAATTGCTTTATGGTACAACCTAAACTTATACATTTAATGTTATGGTACAACTTTAAGTTGTACATTAAAGCACCAATACTATATAGTATAGTAGAAGTGTTCTACTATTTAGTATTTACTAACACTTTCCTACTTACTACAACCAACTTATGCGTGCTTAAGGTTTACGTAAATCCGAATATCATGTGTTTAACAAATGGGGTTACAAAGATTCGAACAAATGATATCTCGGTCAACCATTCTTAATTAGAAGTGCCCTAAATTTCATTCTCAATTAACTATTATACTAATTTACTCATTTTTCGTCCTTAGGAAACACCTGTTGCAATCTCCCTACCCCTGATTGAAGTAAAATTATTTTTACAAATGAATTATGATTTGGTGAAAATTTGTTGAATACATACATCTTCAATTTTGGTCGAATCATATACATCATTATCATTTGTACATAGCTTGTTATAAATACATTGAATATGTCAACGCTCGTTATAAATCATACATCAAATATTTCAAAGGTCTACCAATTTCATTTAAATACGTATTATTTTTCATACCCAATTAACTATTGTACCTAATTGACCATTTTCTAACCCGAGCCAGGGTGGGTCCCGGGACCCACCCTCTAACTCTCTCCCTTCGCCCCTGATTACGATAATCAAGCAGTAAGTCCGATTATCAACTCGAGTATTTCAATTACATAAACAGTCTTGTTCAACCTATACAAAGTAAGAGAAGAAGCACCACACATGTACTCCGATTTCCACTCCACTCTGACGAATGACCACTTGACCAACACCATAAACATTCAACGAAAATAACCGATGCGATAGACACCATTGCAAAGCCTCGCGAAACGCATCACATAAATAGAAATTGATTCACAAGATAATTGAGATCAAGCTGGATGGAAATAATCTTCCCATAAACAAGCAAGTCAACAGCTGCAAGATCCTAATGGTAAACAAAACCAGCTATTGACTTCTAACAATCTCTAACCATTATACAGAAAAATCTACTCTTCCGAATTACATCAAACAACCATGAAGAAGAAACAAGCTCTTCATACGAACCAAAAAGGAAATAAAGTTGCAATCTTTGCCTAACTAGAGGTCCATACATAAACCTGACCGCCGCTGGTCGCTCCGGCAAGCATTCCAACCTGAAAAGGATGGGCATCGAATCTGCAAGGGATTGCCGTCATGTCAGGGCTTTCCAAGGTCATAACTACACTTTTCTCACCAGGGGAGATCACATCGATTCCTCTTTTCATGTTGCCTATGAAAACGTAGGAGTCATCCCAGCCCCATGACGCTCTGGTTCGTCACAACAACAAAGAGAGCAAAGAGATTTTCAGGACTCAGAAGAGAGTAAAAGCTACAGACTTTCTTCTCCAGGCAAATCAAAAATTGTACCTGAATGTAGAGAGCCATCTGCCAGTCTGGTTATAATGGGGTATCATAGTCACAGAATCATCATCAAAATTGCTCACGTTATGTATCCCCACGTAATCATCCAAACTACAAACAAGAAGAAAATAAAGACAAGCCATGAGGGAGCAAAGCCAGTGAGTCAGTACCCATTACTTAGATATCTATGGAGGTGAATTTGTCGATGGAGTTCAGCAGTGAGATAGTGATCGAAGCTACGAACTTATGGTGAGAATTCCGAGAGGTGCGTACAAATTACCTTGAAGTTGCAAGAGAGCAGCCAGAGGGTGAGAAGTAAGCAGAATGAACAGCCCTGTTGTGGCTGACCATCTTCAAACATTTGGGCTGACTCGAACCGACATTTCTCAAATCCCAAATCCTCCCAGTCCCATCGGTCGAACCGGTAGCCATGATGTTAGTGTTCATTGGACTGAAATGAATGGTGTTGATCCTGTCCTCATGAGGAAACCACTGGAATGAAGCTTTCCCCATCTTCTCATCCCATACAGTTAACCCTCCCCGACCTTCACCAAAATATAAGCACTTGTCTTCATTTGGTGGCTTAGACAGACAAAATATAGCCTCATCGGTGTGGTGCACGAGATTAAACACTTCCTTCTCGGCATCCATCATCCGAATGTAGCCATCGTAGCAACTTGAAAAGATCTGTACAAGTATATCCCCGAACACACAGAATCAAACATTGCTGAACTAAAAAACAGAATCAAGCCATTTAAGAGCACTTCCGATGATGGGTCGCCGATATGAATTCTTGATATTTACCTTAGAGAAGGAGGACTCTTGAAACACAATCCCAGAAATCGGCCCGGTATGAGGTCTATACAAGTGTATCCCGTTGTGATGATCATCACCTCCCTTGCTGTCCATATTCCAGAACCCAACATTGCCCAGTTTGTTTCCCACTACAACCATCCTCAAATCCGTACAAGGTAGAAACTCTACACTCATTATCCTCCCTGGAACTACCCTAGCAATGTTATCAGTTTCCAATCTCATCGAACCCAAATCAAGCAGGCTCACAGCTCCCTTCTTCTCTTGCTTAATTCCCTCATCAAAACCTTCAGTTTTGACTCTCTCCGAATTGAACGAATCCCTCGGTTGGATACTCTCCTTCTTCACCACATCTCCTCCGGCATGTTCCTCCTTGACCGGAGGACTCATATGGGGTTTTGTATCGATGGATAACAGAGTGGAAATCAGTGTCCCGTTAGATCCAGCGCCGTCGTGGGCGTCGGTCATGCTCAGGGGACCTAATACACGCGGCGAGACCTTCTCCTTACTGGAAATTTTAAGGGTTTCGCAGGGAGGATCGTCGGAGAGGACGCCGTCTACGCCCTCCGGCGGCAGCCCTCGGCTTCTGAGCGAGCGCCGGATGACTACAGGCGAGTTGGGTTTCAATTTCTTCTCCGGACTCAGTTTGTACGACTTCGACTGCACAGCTCCGACTCTGGAATTCGTCGGATTTAAGACCGAATCGAGAAAAACGATAGGAATCAAAACGAAAAGACGACACGAAAAAAAACACAAAACCCTACCTCTGGCGCTTGGCAGATTGGGAGAGCAGAGAAGCTTTGGACTGGATTTTGAGAGCGGCCATCATCTCGCCGTTCCGGCGGATATTTTCCAGCCGCTTGCGCTCGTACTCCGTCATTTTAGCTTTCGAAGCCATTGATTTTGAGAGGCTCGGCGGCAGAGAAACAGTACTAAGAGTGGGCGGTGAACTGAAGCGGTGTGGGAGAAATAAATGAAAGGCGGCGTGAGGAGAAGGAAAATGCGCGAAATTGGATTTGGTGGCGGGCAAAATTAATTTTGGCGGGAAGATAAATGTAGAGCTTAATTTTATTTTAGCCAACTGTAAAACTTAATTAAGTTAATTATAATCTTGAATCCATATTGTCTTGGATTTGGTTCAAGTTAACTCAAAACAATGGTTCCTATAAAAAAACTAGCTTTTACCCGGCTCGTTGGTCGGATAAATTTTGTTTTATTTTAGTTGATTAATTTCTTCATACTTTTAAATAATTTGAGATTTTTTAAAATATTAAATTCATTATTTCAAAGTAATCTTTATGACATTTTTTTTATTATGACATTAACGATAATTAGTTAATGTATATTTTTTTATCAAGTCATCCAAGTGTACTGTTGTGTATTTGTTTTCCATATATTCGTAGAAATTTGAAAAAATTTTATTGTCGAATATGAATTTGGAGTTGGAAGGAAATATATGTCATCTAGAATTGGTAGGAATTGAATTTATATTAAAAAAATTAAGAGAATAACGAAAAGATTATGCCTAAAAATCTCAAATATGGAAAAACACGAAAAAATAATTCTTATTGTATAAATTAAGATAATTTAGTGTATAGGCTTGTTTGAATAAGAAGTGGGGGTTGTTAAGTGTTTGATACTAATTCACGTACAAAAGTTAAGAAAATCCAAACATTATAAAACCTTAAATTCTACTCTACCAATACGATCTTTGACTTTTTATGTGGAGTTAATAGCATAAATTGTCACTCTATTATCTATTTTCTCAAATCTATCCCTCTACTATTTTTCACATCAAACATGTCTGCATACTATATAGTATATATGTTTTAACAAATTAAATTTACCCCCCATTTTATGGTTGATCTTCTCCGTTTGTAACTCCCAATAATTAATAGACACAATCCCATCATCCATCTGTTCCGCTTTCTGTTCCTTCGACCCAACAATAAATAAACGCAAAAACTTGCCTGTCACGAAAGAACCTTGAAGACCGACTTTTGAATTTCAGCCACTCTCTGAAAGTCAAATTATTGATCAATTCGACTCAATCATAAAAATTTGAACCCAAAATTTTTAGAATATTTGGATTTCAAATTATCAAAGGTTGTCAACCCAGTTTAACCCGTTGGTCCGGTCGACTGAGTGGGTTGAGGGTTAAAGGTCCAATCGTTTTAGCCTACTTTTTGCCCGGATATGAAAAATTCATTATATTAATTTGAGTGTGTCGAAAGAGTGTGACTATTGTATTAATTCAATTAATATATCATTTAACTTACTAACATGTCTTGGTCAAAATATTACAACAATGCAGCGGAAAATAAAAATAAAATTATTTTTGTAGAATGATAGCTTTAAATAATCTGATTAAAACTGAAATTAAAGGAACAGACTTCAAAAGTTAAATAGAAACCCACCAAAGTTTACGATACAATTTTTAGTTTTTAATGAACTTGTTAGTCTTATTTTATTTAAAAGGAAAATAGAAATGAATGCATCATTTATCCACCCTCATGAACTCAATTAGTTGTTAATAAAAGAGTCTATATCTTCTTCTTCCCCTACGATTCTTTGTTTCCTAAGCTGACGCTGGAAATCTCTTGTAGATGTACCGAATTGGAAAATTCTATATCATCAACCATTTAACTAACCTCATATCTTTTTATTTAGCCCCAAACCCGTGATTTGATGATTTAATTCAAAGTCTCCATTCACGAACTCGTGGTGTATACTTTTCATGTTTGCTCTCCAAACCTCTGACGGCATCGCATGAATTCCTTTCTCCCACGAAGAAGCGGGTCATCGTCTTCGAGTCAAAGCCTGTTGATTGGGCTATAACTGGTTCCATTTTATTTTGTTATTAAATCTATCACTCTACTATTTTTCAGATCAGACATGCCAGCGTACTATATAGTATATACATTTTAAGGGTTAATTGCATGGTTGGTCACTGAGATTACAAAAAACGTTCAAGTTTGGTCACTCCAAATATTTAAATCCATTGGTGGCACTTTAGTTTACTGAAACCGTTCATGTTTGGTCACTCTCCGTCTAACTCTGTTAACTTTTGCTTAGGTGGCGGTCAACTCTAACAGTTGACCGTTAAATATGTGACGTGGCAATTTAAAATTAATAAAATTAAAAATTTCAAAAGTGTCATTTCATTTCCACCTCATTATCACTTTTAAAATAAATAAAAACTCTAATTTCTTCTAATCCCTAATTTATTTTCTACACCTCAATACCTTACTCGGAGGAGCCCTTCTAGTGTGCTCTATAGTACCCATGCTATAAAAAAAGGTTACCTGTTGAGGAGGTAAACCCACTAAATGACTGGTCCCACATCATTAATGGCAATTTTGTAAATAATAAATCAATGTATACAAAGGTAGGTACAAATTACAGTTGTACCATATCGTATAGGTACAAGTTTCGGTTGTACCATTGAAGAATTTGTTTCACAAAGTGTAGGTACAATTAATAATTGTACATAGTGTGTAGGTACAATTTTGAGTTGTACCATAGAGGGCTTCGTGAGAAAGTGTAGGTACAACATAAAGTTGTACCATAGGTATAGGTACAATTTTGAGTTGTACCATAGAGGGATTTGTGAGAAAGTGTAGGTACAATATAAAGTTGTACCATGGTATAGGTACAAGTTTGGTTGTACCCATAGAAGGATTTTGAGAAAGTGTAGGTACAACTTCAGGTTGTACTATTAGTATAGGTACAAGTTTGCGTTGTACAATGGAATGATTTTTAGAAAGTGTAGGTACAACTTAAGGTTGTACCATAAGTATAGGTACAATTTTCAGTTGTACCATAGAGGGATTTGTTAGAAAGTGTAGGTACAACTTAAAGTTGTACCAGTAGTATAGGTACAAGTTTAGGTTGTACCATAGAAGGATTTTTAGAAAGTGTAGGTACAACATAAGGTTGTACCACAAGTATAGATACATTTTTCAGTTGTACCATAGAGGGATTTGTTAGAAAGTGTAGGTACAACTTAAGGTTGTACCATAAGTATAAGTACAAGTTTAGGTCTTACCATAGAGGGATTTGTTGAAAAATGTAGGTACAACTTAAAGTTGTACCACTAGTATAGGTACAAGTTTGGGTTGTACCATAGAATAATTTTTAGAAAGTGTAGGTACAACTTAAGGTTGTACCATAAGTATAGGTACAATTTTCAGTTGTACCATAGAGGGATTTGTTAGAAAGTGTAGGTACAACTTAAAGTTTTACCACATGTATAGGTATAAGTTTAGGTTGTACCACAGAGGGATTTGTTGGAAAATGTAGGTACAACTTAAAGTTGTACCGCTAGTATAGGTACAAGTTTGGGTTGTACCATAGAAGGATTTTTAGAAAGTGTAGGTACAACTTAAGGTTGTACCATAAGTATAGGTACAATTATCACTTGTACCATAAGTATAGGTACAATTATCAGTTGTACCATAAAGGGATTTGTTACAAAGTGTCAGTACAACTTAAAGTTGTACCATAAAGTATAGGTACTGTTTTGAATTGTACCATAGAGGGATTTGTTAGAAAGTGTAGATACAACTACTAGTTGTACCATATAGTATTGGTACAAGTTTGAATTGTACCACAGAGAGATTTTTTGAAAGTGTAAGGTTGTATCATAACGTATAGGTACAAGTTCTGTTTGTAAAACCATGCCTATTTATCATGGTATTATCACATAATATGACTAAGCATGGTATTGTCATGGTATCGCAAAACCAAAATCAAAAGCTATCTTGCAATGGAGCGGACCAACTTGGGCCAGGTCGTTTCTTTCTCCCTTGCCCTCACCAGCTTCTCTTGGTAACCCACAAATGCACAGTCAGATTGATTCAATCCTCCATACATGCATGCATCATTCCCCTACATTTAGTTTCTGAATCTTTGGGTTTTGACTGTTTGCTTCAGGGGTTGATGAACCCATCGCCCAGAGTTGCTTCAGCTACTTCGGTTTGGCCTTAGTTTACGACAACATATTCGTTCACAGAAGCCATAAGCTACAGGTAATCAACAAATCAGTTCATCTAAAAACAAACTCTGTTCTTTTCGTTACCTTAGCCCTCAAATATTTGCAGGTTGCTTGGTATTGGTATCTCCTTCAGGGATTTATCGATGTGCAGGGAAATTATCTGGGTAAAGTGACTTCGATAGCACACTTTTTTGCGTAAATTTTCTTTCTTGACTGACTGTTACTCTGCCATGGGTTGTACTCTGTTTTCTCATAAATGTCAGTTGTTCTCTGTTCTGGCCTTTCGGCGGGGCTGCTTGATTTTCGCAGTGAACAAAGCGTACCAATTCTCGTCGATTACGAGTGTGACGTTGCTGGATTGCTGGACCATACTATGGGTCATCATCCTGACGTGGCTGATCCTGGGGACTCGCTATTCCATCCCCCAGCTTCTTGGTTCCGCTATTTGTGTTCTTGGCCTTGCTCTGGTTCTCTTCTCCGACACTTGGGTGGGCGGTGGCGCAGGTGATCCCCTACAACCGGTACAACCGGTTGTCCATACATAAATAAAATAATTTATTAAAAATTTAAATAAGATCTAATGGCTAATATATTTTGAACATGATCTAATAGTTGTAAATGTTTTATAGCACCAATACTATAAAGCACACTAAAATGCCTCTACTCGGAGAACTCACCCGAGCAACGACGTCGGCATCGACGACCAGAATACCATGGGACTTAAAAAGATTGGAGACGGTGCTCTCCTCGGACGAGATTCCTCCCGTCAATCCTACTATTCTCATTAGGGCTGTCGCGAGATTCTTCTTCTTCACGAGATTCTGCCTCGCTCGTCCCCTGCATCCCACCAGATTCGTCGCCTCCCATCGCTAGAACTGTTGCTCATCGCCGGCCGCTACCTTCGCCATCTTCATTCGCAAAAATCTGTATTTGTTCACATTGGGGATGGGCTGACGGAGACAACAACAACATCAGTGTTGAGGATGGTTAGCTGCATTCTTCTACTCATGAGCATTATTTGTGTGGCTAGCTCCCAAGTCAGCATGGCTTCAGGGCATGACTCTCCAAATATGAAATATCCCACCAGATTCGTCAACCCCTACCCCTGCTGCATTTCGCTAGAATCCATTGCCCCCTGAATTGCGCAATTGAAAATTGAAGAATTTGTTGCCCTGAATTGTTCACATTGGGGATCGAGACCCTGTTGAATCCTCAACCTGATGCTCCAATCAATCGAAACCCACCGGGCCAAAAACAGCCCCGCGGTGCCTCCGGTGATTCTCTCGATGGTGAAGTTCGCGACCGCGTTGGGGCACGATTTGAGCTCGTTACGGCGGGTGGGTACGGGGGCCGCACAGGGAATTGGGGGAGGAGTTCCGGCGGAGGTTCCCTTGGGTGGAACTGCGGCCGGGGTATGGGCTGACGGAGAGCTGCGGAGCCACGACGATGTTTGCAAGCGACCACGACGCCAAGCGGCGGCCGGAGGGTTGTTGGGGGCTTTTGCCAAGCTTTAGTGCGAAAATCGTGGTGAGGTTGCGAAAACTTGCGGCCATGGGAGAGGAGGATCGCTAGCTGCGGGCAAACGGAAGGAATGCTCCCGCCGGGTCGGAGGTTGTGTTTTGGTGGTGGTGAGGTTGGGTCGGGTAGGGTATTGGGGTGTGTAGAAAATAAATTAGGTTTTTTATTTTATTTTTTAATGAATGTAATAATGAGGTGGAAAAATATAAAAGATTATTTTTTTATTTTTAATAAATTTTTAATTGCCACGTCACATATTTAACGGTCAACTACGAAAGTTGACTGCCACGTAAGCTAGAGTTAACAGAAATAGACGGAGAGTGACCAAACTTGAACCATTTAACTAATTTTAGTAACCAAAATTGGATTTAAATATTTCCAGTGATTAAACACGAGCGTTTTTTGTAATCTCAGTGACCAACCATGTAATTAACCCTACATTTTAACAAATTAAACTTACCCCCATTTTGTGGCTTATCTTCCCCTTCTGCAACTCTCAATAATTAATAGACACAATCCCATAATCCATTTGTTCCGCTTTAATTTATCTCACTTCAACCCAAAAATAAAACGCAAAAACTTGTCTGTCACGAAAGAACCTTGAAGACGGACTTTTGAATTTCAACCACTCTCTGAAAGTTCACAATTATTGATCGATTTGACTCAATCATAAAAATTGGAAACCAACTTTTTTAGAATACCTAGATTTCAAATTATCAAAGGTTGTCAACCCGGTTTAGCCCCTTGGTCTGGTCAATTAAGTGGATTGAGGGTTAATGGTCCAATCTTTTTAGTCCGCTTTTGCCCGGATATATGAAAATTTCGTTATATTTCATATATTAATATTTTTCGTATGGCCTGAACTTTGACCAAAATAAACATCCTGGCCAATCTTTTCGATCTATAACATCCTGGCCCGAACTATACATCAAAATAAACAATTTGGCCAAACCCGATGTTTGACTGTTAACTTGGACGGTCAAACGCGTTGACTAACGGTCAACGCGCCACGTCACTGCCAAGTCAGAAGATCTGATAAATATTTAATTTTTTCGTTTTTTATTTTTGGTTTAACTAAGGTATTAGATGATTTTTTTAATTTATAATAATTTAAAATTAGGAAATGTGTGGAAATTGTGAATTATTTTAAATATTTTATGCTGACTTGGCAGTGACATGGCGCGTTGACTAACGGTCAACGCGTTTGACCGTCCAAGTTAACAGTCAAAAGTCGGTTATGGCCAAATTGTTTATTTTGGTGTATAGTTGGGCCAGGATGTTATAGATCGAAAAGATTGGCCAGAATGTTTATTTTGGTCAAAGTTCAAGCCATACGAAAATATTAACCCATTGATAAATTATATAAAATCTCATCTATATGGATAATATTCTTCCTTGCCCGGACTATCTACAATTGTTTCTCTATCTGCTTGATGACTCGGTATTTGCACATGTTTTCCCCATTGTTTCTTGATTATTTGAGCTTGAATTATTGCGTCTTTTTCCTATTTTATGCTAGGTTGTGTTCCTTTGTCACATTTCAGGTCCTAGCACATAAAGTGAAGCATAGGCGCAAGTTTCAAATCAATCAGAGATAAATTGACGATTCGGGAGAAGAAACTCGGGCATGACCTGAAGAAGAATGGATTTCTACCTCACTTTATGGACAAAGAATCATGCAAGCTTGTCATTAAAAGAAAGAGGACGAGCCTACGAGCGTCTGGGATCAAACGGGGATTGATTCGGAGTCCGGACGAGGGAGAAACGAAGCATTAAACAGAGGCTGAGCAAGCCACACGGGCATCCTGGAACTCCACACGGCCGTGTGGGTCGTGGCCGTGTGGAAATCACCGAGCCTTCACACGGGCAGCTGGGAAAGCCACACGGCCGTGTGGCCTGGCCGCGTGATCGGGAATTTCTGTTTAAAACTCAATTTTCAGCCAAAGGAAAGGGGAGAGCTGGGTTTTTGGTTCCCAAACAGTCAAGGGACGAACCCTAGAGAGAGAGAGCGATTTGGGAACATTCTTGGAGCTATTTTGGAGGATTTCTTCGCCATTGGAGCTCGGGAATCAAGCTTGGATATGGAGATTGAAGATCTAGATCAGATTTCTGCAGTCTCTCTCTTCTCTATGGAGTAACTTCCCTTCACTTAGGTTTTGAGGAACCCTAGTTCCATGTGTTAGGATCTTTCTTGTATGAAGTTTTGGATGCTATATTGTTTGATTATAATCGATTGAGGCATGATTTATTGAGTCAATTGAATCTTGATCAAATTCTCTTGATTTCTGCTTTAACCTATGATAGATAGAATCTGATTAGGTTAAGAGAGCTTCCTTGATTGATGGTGGTGAATTGGTTATACGAGAGTTAGTCAATCTACTGCTTTGTACTGGAATCCAATTCAGGTAGTGGAGTTCTGTGTTCATAGCCTCAACTTTCTATCCCGGTGAAGGTTAGTCGCCTGCCGGGTAGTTGGACTGAGAGGGCTTGGTCAGCTTAAGAGATTCCAAGCTACTGTCGGATCTTCCGCAGTGTAATCAACAGTAGATCAACCAAAGGTAATTGCAACTTGGACCTAATTGAGGAGCTAGGGGAAATCATACCTAAGTGAGTTCACAACTTGTAATTAGTAGAGTAGTCAATAGAGTAGTTTATAAATCAATCCTTAATCTAGTTTGCTAGATAACGAACTGAAGCTGAGTAATAGTAACTCTAGAGACCCGTGGATTCGATATTTATTACTTGTGCCACTATACTGCGGTCCCTTTCATTGGTTACACTTGGCCCTTGTTAGATGTTGTGTTTTAGCGTGTCAAGTTTTTGGCGCCGTTGCCGGGGACTTTCTAGATTATTAGGAAAGGCAGAAGTTTGTTACTTTAGCGTTTTTCTTTTCTTTTCCACCCTTGCTTTTCACTTGGGTGTTTTTGTTTTTGTGGGTGCAGATCTGAATCATGGATCCTCATGGCTTCTCCAACAATTGGGGGTATCCACCACCACCCGAGTGGTATTACCCCGAGACTCCCTGGAGCAATCAAGGAGGAGAAGACTATGAATTTGGGTTCTAGTACCAACCCCCTTACTACGGAGAACAACCGGACCCCTGGGCATATCAAGAACAACCTCATTACCAAGAAGAATTTCTCTCACAACCAGAAGGGCCATCGGCGCTGGAGTTACCCATGGCGTCCTTCACGGGCCATTCTGCAGAGCCATGCTACACTCCACAGCCAGATCCAAACTATGAATTGAGGCTTCTCATGGAACAGTTTGCTCGAGACAGTGAGAGAACATGCTCCAGGATGGATCATTGTGTCCAGGCCTATCGTGAAACAGAGTAGATCCTCCTGAGCCTTAAGAAGAGCGTCGATGATCTTGAGCGATCTTGTGCACAACCTGCTCCCGATCACCCTTATGCTACCATACTAGAAGAGGAGGAGGAAGAAGAAGGCTACAAGGACATTGTGGAGCACACTAAAGTTGTCACGGAGAGCTCCCGTGATGATCATGATCAGGAATGTCCTGTCATAGCCGACCACACCTTCCCACATCCCAAACTGAGCTTTGAAGAGGCGGGCATGAGTGAAGAGATGCAAGAAGATCTCATGAAAGAAATTGCTTGGCAGCTTGCTCTCCAATCCGTGCTAGAAGAAGAAGAGCAAGAAAGGGTGCAGAAAGAAGTTGTGGAGGATGACGAAAGTGAAGCAGAAGGAGTTCTTGATCATTTCCCAGGGGTGATACCACATGAAGAAGAAAGGGAGGTTGAAGAAGCAATTGGTGTCCAGACTGAGGATGAAGTTGAGGTGGAAGAGGCTTGCACCGGCCCTATAATACAAGTAATATACCCACCAAACTTCGAGGAACTACTTAGCAAGGACCCATTTGCAGTATCTCTTTGCCAGACCAAGGCCACATCGACATCGGTCCCTCTTGGTGGACGCGATGGTGGTCAATCGATGTTGTCATATATGGTTTGGGACAATGAGACGAGAGAAGAGAAGAAGAGGTCTCGAGGATGGAGACTTCATCTGCATCAAGTGCACGAGCTTCCATCACCAGTCATACCACATGCTCGTGACTTGCGACTCCACCTCATTGACGAGAACCTCAACTTCAAGGAGGTTCTAGCATGGACCGAAACTTAGGAGCCATCGTCTGGCTCACGACGTGAAAGAAGCGCTTGTTGGGAGGCAACCCAACCAGTTGGTTTGCATTTCTTTCTATATTTCTCCTCGGTTGAGTCAGTTTTGTTATTTGATTTTAGAGTCAATAACTCAACCTTTGTGAGATTTTGTGTGGTGTTTGCGTTCTGATTACTCTCTCTTCCTGGAATGCACCGCCTGACCCGTCCATCATCATTCACCCTTGATCTGGTAACTTCGTTCTACCCTCCTTATCTTTCCTCCATTGAGGACAATGTCGTGCTTAAGTGTGGGGGGTGTTCGATTATGTATGCGGGTGAATGTTTGGCTGTTTGTGTGCTTGGAGCCTAGTCCACTGTCCAAAATTTTAAATTTGAGGGCTCCAAGTACGTGTTTCCTTGCAAATTGCCTGCTCAGTATGCTTTGAATCGACTTCTCTATAGTAATGTGCAACCTAGGGAGGTAGTGTAGCACTATGGAGGATGTTGAAGTATAAGATTTTTCCTATCTAGCTCTCTGTTGTGCCAGTTGATTTTGTGAAGTAGTGAAGCTAAGACCGTTGAATTCATGTGGTAATGGTGACTCTGTTTGGATTGTGTTATGGACTCGTGTATCGAACAGGGTGCTCATATGGAAAATGGGAAGCAGTTGGTCCTCCATGTCGAAATCATTGAAATCTTAAACATGGGGTAAGCCCAACGTGTGTGGCATCGTTCATTGCACAAAATAGGGTTTTGGAAGAGATTTTAGTGATCCTTAGTGGGGTACTCCTACAAGGTGAAGCTAAGTTGTCTCTAGTACAAGTAAAATTTTCACCCGTTGAACGGTTTGCCTACTTGAGGATGTGTTTTTAAGGGCACGGATAGAGCTTCCGCCCCCCTTGATTTTATTGACCCTCCACACGAGTTGAGGAAAAGGAGTTAAAAGAAGTACTCTGGCGAGCGCTAGATGTACAAAAATTGCTCTTGCTCGACTAATAAGGGCCGACCGTGCAAAAGACTGCAGTTGGAACCCCCGCCAAGTGAATGAAGAAAAAAAGAGAAAAAGAAATGTAAATGAAAGTACAAAAAGGGGTTCCAACGGTGAAATGAAGTGAAAGAGCACCCCGGTACAACGAGTCCTTGGTTGTGAATGGTGTGAGTCCCTTTGTCCATGAACTGACTGTCTTACTTCTACTTCTTCTCATGTTCCTGGCTTGAGTCTAGTACTCGCATTGAGAGAGATAGGGGACGTCTTAGAAGACCAGTTGACCTCGTAAGCTGCTATATGATCTAGGAAATCCTCTACCGACGATCGGGGTTGTTTGTTGCTATAGAGGTCTAGAGAGCTGCATTGGTTTGAGTTAGGTTTGCTTGGGGACAAGCAAACAGTTAAGTGTGGGGGGATTTGATGACTCGGTATTTGCACATGTTTTCCCCTTTGTTTCTTGATTGTTTGAGCTTGAATTATTGCGTCTTTGTCCTATTTTATGCTAGGTTGTGTTCCTTTGTCACATTTCACTATTTCAGGTCCTAGCACATAAAGTGAAGCATAGGCGCAAGTTTCAAATCAATCAGAGATCAATTGACGATTCGGGAGAAGAAACTCGGGCATGACCTGAAGAAGAATGGATTTCTACCTCACTTTATGGACAAAGAATCATGCAAGCTTGTCATTAAAATAAAGAGGACGAGACTACGAGCGTCTGGGATCAAACGGGGACTGATTCGGAGTCCGGACGAGGGAGAAACGAAGCATTAAACAGAGGCTGAGCAAGCCACACGGGCATCCTGGAACTCCACACGGCCGTGTGGGTCGTGGCCGTGTGGAAATCACCGAGCCTTCACACGGGCAGCTGGGAAAGCCACACGGCCGTGTGGCCTGGCCGCGTGATCGGGAATTTCTGTTTAAAACTCGATTTTCAGCCAAAGTAAAGGGGAGAGCTGGGTTTTTGGTTCCCAAACACTCAAGGGACGAACCCTAGAGAGAGAGAGAGCGACTTGGGAACATTCTTGGAGCTATTTTGGAGGATTTTTTTGCCATTGGAGCTCGGGAATCAAGCTTGGAGATGGAGATTGAAGATCTAGATCAGATTTCTGCAGTCTCTCTCTTCTCTATGGAGTAACTTCCCTTCACTTAGGTTTTGAGGAACCCTAGTTCCATGTGTTAGGATCTTTCTTGTATGAAGTTTTGGATGCTATATTGTTTGATTATAATCGATTGAGGCATGATTTATTGAGTCAATTGAATCTTGATCAAATTCTCTTGATTTCTGCTTTAACCTATGATAGATAGAATCTGATTAGGTTAAGAGAGCTTCCTTGATTGATGGTGGTGAATTGGTTATACGAGAGTTAGTCAATCTACTGCTTTGTACTGGAATCCAATTCAGGTAGTGGAGTTCTGTGTTCATAGCCTCAGCTTTCTATCCCGGTGAAGGTTAGTCGCCTACCGGGTAGTTGGACTGAGAGGGCTTGGTCAGCTTAATAGATTCCAAGCTACTGTCGGATCTTTTGCAGTTTAATCAACAGTAGATCAACCAAAGGTAATTGCAACTTGGACCTAATTGAGGAGCTAGGGGGAATCATACCTAAGTGAGTTCACAACTTGTAATTAGTAGAGTAGTCAATAGAGTAGTTTATAAATCAATCCTTAATCTAGTTTGCTAGATAATGAACTGAAGCTGAGTAATAGTAACTCTAGAGACCCGTGGATTCGATATTTATTACTTGTGCCACTATACTGCAGTCCCTTTCATTGGTTACACTTGGCCATTGTTAGGTGTTGTGTTTTAGCGTGTCACTGCTACTTTCCGCTATTCTCCTTCGAGCTCCTAAAAATCACTACAACAACATGTATTCATCACTTGATGAAGGTCGCACTCCTATGGTGACGGTGTGTGTGTCAGGATTGGAATTAATGAGAAATTACCAAGTGGGAATTGAAAGTGGGTTGTTTGCGAGGGAAGACAATATGTGATGGAAGGCGAGTTCTGCCAGTAGTCTCTTTGTCTACAGAATTAACTCAACGGATTTAGCTTACCAATTCGCGGTGCGGGAGCTAGAATGAGAGCGTAAGAGTGTATATTATTCGAGAGTTATAATTTGAGTGCCACAGAGAGCGTGAATATTATATTATTTTAATTAATATATCATTTAACTTACTAACATGGTTTGGTCAAAATATTACAACAATGCAGCGAAAAACTAAAACTAAAAATATTTTAGTAGGATAATAGCTTTAAATAATCTGATTAGACCCGAAAAAGAAACAGACTTCAAAAGTTGAATAAAAACCCACCAAAGTTTACGCTACTGTTTTTAATTTTTTATTGATTTTTTTAAAAGAAAAAGTGAAATGAATGCATAGTTTATCCACCCTCATACACTCAATTAGTGGTTGACAAAAGAGTATATCTTCTTCTTTCCCTTCGACTCAATAAAGTTTTGTATCTGCAAAACTTTGAACGAAGAACATGCCAACTAAAATCCAGAATTCCAAACATGGCATATTTTCATTTATAGTTTGGCGTTTCAAGTTGTAGGCAAGAGATTACATATTCCGGGCATGGTAGAGCTTCGGTTGCCAGAGCAAAATATATTGTCATACCCGAAATTAACATAACTAGAAATGGAATTAGGGATCAAAGTTATTGCTTAGGATAAATTTGAGATTGTATGCAGTGGCCTGAAGTTTTATTAGATAGATATTTTACCTTCATACTCTGTTGAGGCATGGATTGATCTATGCTAAACATGCATGGGTATTTGATATTTATCCACTGATCACATAACTTACCAACTGGAAGTGCATAAATAAATCTGTTATCGGATAGGTTTGAATGTGATCACACCACATCATAACTACACTGTTGGTGTACAAATATTCACATAAAGAAATCCACCACCACCAGAGCATCTAATAAATAGAACAACCATTCATGCCATATTATAGACTACATAGGCTATAGTTGGCACATGTTCGCCAAGGCACCATACATTAGTTTGCATATACATTATACATGGTGCCTGGCTGTGATAACATCACTTTCGTTATATACTACAATACTTGTTCACAAACATCACATCTGGCATTAATCGCCCGTGCCATTACATAACAGTAAACAATTTCTCAAAAGCAACCCTGACTGTTATCATTGAATGACACACTTGAGCTTCCCTTCCTGATTGCTCCTCGGACACAGATTTCCAGGACTTGTAATTTTTCATTAATGGACAATCCCCCATGAGGTTGGCTGAAAGGAAAATAAGAATTTGCAAGTTATATGCATATTTTGATAGTTAAATTTAAATGCAATGAACAGATAATACCACACATTAAACAGGTGAGCAGGAAACTATGTTTCCTTAGCGGCCTTTCATCTAACTGACTAATATGGAAAGTAGGCTTGGTGTTCTCAAACAACAACGGACTAGAAAGGCAGAAACTTTTTCTTTCCCTTTGGAAGAGCCCGCATTGGAAGGAAAAAAAAAACATTCACAATGACTAAATTTTGAAAAAAAGAGACCATTACACCAAGGATGACCATACCTTGATGGGGAGGATCATGTCCAGCTGTCAATTTCAATGGTGTCGAGGCCAAAATTGTTCCAGATTGATTGTCATCGTTCTGAGAAGGCAGAGAAATCCGGGACCTATCCATATTGTCATGGCTCGCTTGTCTGAATCTCATGATTCTGCTGAGGAATAACCCGAAAAACTTTGAACTCACCAGTTGACACACCATTAGATTCCAACATTTGCAGCTTAACATCAAACTTGACAAACTGGCCATAAAGTGTGCCCAACTCTAATGTAGTTGCTCTGATCTATAAGGGTACCTCTGAGCCAAGAGAATGAAAGGGGCATCTCCAGTTGCATCCTTCAAAGTAAGTTGGATCTAGTATTTGACAGCCAACAAAGGAAACACAACACATTTTCAGGGGATCACACCAACGGAACAATCGAAAACAGAGGATTTTGAATACTATTCGTAATTCGGAAGAATTACAGGGGGGGCAATCGAGCAGCTTGAAAATGCCTAATATTGAGCAAGATGATCAACAAAGAAGCACCAGCAAACACCATAATAACATAAAATCAATCATATAAAGAAACAATGCAAAGTAACGTTCATACCCAATTGTGACCTAATTCTCTGAAATTTCCCAATGTTCGGACACCAGTAGCCATTCTGCCTCCATGTAGAGCAGTTTTTCTTACACATGTTGCATGATGTGTAACCATGGGTTGTGAGACTCAATAGACTTGATTATCCCGCTGCAAAAGTGCTTTGCATCCTATGCCATTTCCACACCCAACCAAAATAAAACAATGAACAATAAGAGAAGGAACATATAAACCACATTAAAGCTAAAAGTAAACAAAGATCAAATAGATGCTCCACTGACCATAGAAGCACCACTATGGTGGAGCTCAAGCAACTCAACTATCATCCTTGTCCTGTTCTCAGCATCAACAACACTTCCTCTAGCGTCACAAACTAAACTGGCAGTTCTACAACAGGGCTCCTTGGCCTGCCAAAACTTAAATCAACAAAATGAACAAAAGTTAAGGTGGTAAAGCATAATAGAGGTGACATTTGAAAGAGGAAACATGAGATAAAGGTAGCATACAACAACTTAACCACCAGGTCTAAGCACCATCTGACATAGAAATCTACATGGTACCAGCTCTAGCCTCTAAGCCCCCCTCTGCACTTCCTTGAAAATGTAGAAATGGATCCTACGATTAACCTTTTTACATGGAAATCAAACATACTGTTTGGAAAAAGAGTACATATAAATCACGTTATACCTGAATAAGTGACAACAATCTGTATATTTCTATTGCATCTTTGTGTTATTCCCCATCAAATCGAAGAACAACCTTCTACCTAAGAAGCACTAACTGATCCATCCTTCCAGCTTCATCCAAACTGCTCAATTACCGTTTTAGCATTCTTGCACCGTTGCTCATCATGGTCACAATGTACCTCCCAACGTGGTCTGCGGTCTAGTTCACCAGATTTAGAGTTAAAATCAATCCGGTGACTTGACCAACATGACTTCCATATCTAGGGAAACCCATCAGGAAAAAATCCATAAAATTTCCGCACCCAAAAATAGAAGAAAAACCATTTGCTAGTTTCGAATTTCTAATCGACAATATACAGCCTAAAGCCAAACCGAATTTCAGTGAAACCATGGAAAACCATTTGCTAGTTCCATAACCCAACCCAATGATCTACCAACACATAACTCAAGAAAACTTTGCTTAATAGAAAACGCTAGGGTGCAACTTAAGGGGTTTGAGATCCACAGTCAACCAGGGATGCTATTCTCCCTTCATCTCTACAACTCAATCACCATGAAACAATACGACAAAACCCATAACTCTGGTCCCTGTTAAACCCTTGGTCACCGTGGTGCAGCAAAGATAACATGCAAAAAATAAAACCGTAAAAGACACAATTAGTACCTGCCGCAGTTCTCATCGTGGGGGCATCTTGTTGCCACAGACAAGGATAGAGTTAGATCGAGAAAAAGAGGAAGAGATTCGAAAAAATCATAGACGTCAATGACATATATAGGAAGGGAAACCCACCAACAAAACTGAAAGATGCGATTTCTCCTCGAATGGGGTTCCTGACGGCGCCACCGGCGATGTGGCTGTGTTGTTAGTGATTTAAGGAATCGATCGATGAATGTAAGGAGTATGTACTTTGACAGTGAGGAGTGGAGCCGAAGAATTGGGGTGGTGATTCACATAAATGGGTTCTCCGGAATGGCGCAGGGGAGAAAGGGAAATCGAAGGAAGAAATTCGTTGAGGGAAGGGGAAAGGAAAAGAGAGAAGGACTATTGCGGTTCGAGAAAAGGGAAGAGGAAAACCCCCACCTAATTGGCCTGCCATGTCAGCTCCCGCAAATCACTCTAAGAGCAAAGAATTTTGAAGGGGATGCAGTTTTACGTTTTCACTATAAATGATAATGTAGAAAAATCTTGCAAAATGTAACATCCTGAACCTCGAATAAATTTTTTTTCCCAAGTGGCGGACGTATATCGCACGATTCGAAACTGGAAAAAAATCAAGAAGTTATCCTATACGAGGTAGGATCAACCAAACCACTTGAAAACTCACCAAACATCAAAAAGTGCAACAAAAATAAACTAGTAATTGTAGGAGTCGAACCTCTGACCTGTTGTTCAAAGGAAGGGTTTAGCAAACTAACCAGTTAGACTATGCTGGTTTCAGTGATACAAAAGGAGCCGAGTCATTAATGAGCTAATGACGTAGGCATTGCACCAACAGCTAGCTTGTTTATGGAGCCGGCTTTGGAACTTGTGTTTCTTCCTTTCAAAGTTACTGCTCATTAGAAGGCCGCCCCATGCCTTTACTCCATCTGCTGGAAAGTAAATGATGAGGTAAGAGCATGAATCAAAGAGCTCTATAATACCGGTAAGCTAGCTTTCCATTTTTGCCTTCGTACAAACACCAAGAAGAGAAAAGAAAAGAAATAATATGAAACCAAAGCCTAGCATAGCCTCTGTATTCCCAGCAAAGGTTTAGAACCTATACAAACCTATTTACAAGCCAAAATCGTCAAACCAACTCACCAAATATTTTTCGCCGAAACTTTTGCCGTGACCTTTTCGTCAGGCAAACTAGCACCATTAAAGGTAGTATCAGCTACAAAGCTTGATACCGTTGCGAAGAGAAAGTCTCCACGAGCATCACAGAGTTCGCAGAATTGAATTCCGAGCTGAGACGAGGGACAAACAAGGACGGGAAGTTGGTACGCGAGGTAAGAAAATTTCCAGTTTTCTGCAGATTTTGGGACATGCAGAAAATTAACAATTAATCCGTAACTTCATACTAACGATGATCAACTCGCAGTTTCTTCGTTTGACGTCCAAACGACGAATCGTTTTCGCCTACACGACCATCGAAACAAGGAGAATTTTTGGGAGCCAATCTCTGGAATTTTAGAACTTAATTCCCGACTTGGAATCAGCTAAATTAAGGTGTGTGGGGATTAAGAGGACCTTGATTATTGTATCGATTATTTATGCTTGATTTACATATTTGAATGGATGGATTACTGTGGGTGATAACTTATTTGTTGATATGATGATTTGGTGATCATTCTTAATTGTTATGGATTTTACGGTGTAAATATAGGTATTTGACAACTTTCACCGTAAAAATGGATAGTTGGGTTTATTGAGTTTAAAACTAATCTAAGATATTTTGGTTTGTCTAAAATGATTTTGGGGCATATTGAGCAGAAGTTTTCACTTGAAAATTGTTTCTGGATTAAAAACTGCATAATGGTGAATTTTACGGAAAGCTCGGTAAAAACGTGTTTCATTTATCTTTAAGATTTTGATCACTTTAAAATAGTCAGTATGGATTGTTAAATGGGGTTTGGTCTCGAAATGGTAAATTAGACAGTTGGTGAAATTTTTATCTTTAAAATGGTAAAAACGAGATTAATACGAGATTTGCGGTAAAGACCGAGTGTAATATTATTTTCATGGTTTTGATTTGTTGAAAAATATAACAACTGGACAGACCTGTTTTAGGATGATAAATGAAGGTTCTTGTATGTTTGGGAGATTTTCGGATTTACCGTTTAGTTGGAATTTAAGTTACCGTAAAATAATGGTTAATACGAGATTTTTGATATTTTATTGTCTAAATTGATTTTTATGACCAGAACTGGATTAAATGGATTTTTGTGTCAATAAATTCATTTACATGAATTTTGTGAGGATTTTAATGAAGGAAAGTGAATTTTGAGTTAAGGATATTTTTAACCGCAAACGGGTTATTTACAATTATTTGCATCGGATCTATTTCGTGAAATTGTTTATGAATTTTGGATGAGGAATGGTGATATAGTACTGCTAAGTAGCTTTACTAGAGAATGAGATAATTTATGTGATTTGGTATTGGATGATGGGATAGTTGATTTTTAGAAACGTCGAGTTGATAATCGACGAGAAATATATGTATATGGAACGGTTAATCAGTGGCAATACATTGATTCCGGATTGTCTGTGACAGATGAGAAAAATGGAAATGGTTTGATTCGTGATCATATTAATTCACGTAGATGTAGAAAGGGCCTGCACTTACCCTCACCCCTTGAGAGTGGGTAGATTTAGCTCGCTTATTCGATTGAGTGTTATGGTTGCATGAGCACCACGGATGAATGTTGTGGTTAGAAACCACGGATTGAGTGTTGTGGTTAGAAACCACGGATTGAGTGTTGTGGTTGCATGAGCACCACGGATGATGTTTTGCTCGAGCGAGGGTAAGTGTATGGTGACCTTGGCGCCATTAATAATTAACCGGAATTTTCATATCATGCATTGATTATGTGTTCTTGAAATTATGTGATTATCTTATTTGATAAATTGATTTGGTGATGATGAGTTGGTGGATTCGATAATTTGATCGGGTAATTTATATATATGATGATTTAAGATGGCATCTAGAGTACTAAATTATGATTGATTACGATTGTTTGATTAGCTGATTGCGGTCCCAAAATTAGGTCGTGGGAAAGATCCACACACACAACTTAGTTGCTGACCCACGTCTGTTTTCAGGCTCGCAGGTGCAACTAGGATCGGACTACTGAGGCTGCTCTATCCTTCTGTACTACCATCATGAGGTAGTTTGGAACACTGTTCTGTCATGGTCACCTAGGATTTCTGCTTTGAGGTTTTTCAATAATAACCCACATTTTGTAAAATTCAATAAGTGGGTTGGGGATCGAATAATGAGTTTGTATGATAACGGTTTATGTTTGTGTTTAATAATCGGATATAATGTTTGAGATGCTTGAGTTCAACCAGTAACACCAAGGATTTGGCTGCGCGGTTGAACCACGGGTTCAACCATAGAGATTCTGGGTGGGGTGTTACAAGTGGTATCAGAGCTCGGTTAGTTCGCTGCACTATAAGTATGTTACCTGAACTCGTGAGGATTAGCTACCCTCAGTCGGGTGAAGGTACTCCATACTCGTATTTGCACCGAGACTTTCTGGGTAATGGGATCAATTGTGAAAAAAATATTTTTAAAATGATTTTTTAAAATTTTGAGGAATTGAGAAACGATCTTTGGAAGGAGTTTTTGTGGAAGAAACTAAAGTTTGGTTTCTTTTTTCTTTCTTTGTAGTGACCGGAACAGTGTGGGCCCTCGTAATTTTCAGTTAGCACCGCTACCACCCCCCATCAGGGTGGAGTTTCCTCAACTTAAGAAATATGGGCTGAAGGAGTTTCGAGGGGATAGTGACGATCCCCAGGAAACGGCAATGTGGTTGAAAGAGTCGCGCATTCAGTTCGATTACATGGGATATGATGAGGAGCCGAGGCTCCAAGCAATGGTTATGCTTCTTAAAGGCCATGCCTTGACCTGGTGGGGCTCTCAGGAGGAGGGGCAGGTCTATCCTCCGCTACTGATGTACCATGATTTTATGGCTATGTTCCGGGCGACTTTCTTTCCACCTAAGTGGATATATAATAAACAGCGGGAGTTCGATGATCTTAAGAAGGGGGAGATGTTTGTATTGTCTTACTACATCAAATTCTTCGAGTTATCTGAGTGGTGTGAGATTGAGACAGACCGAGATGAGAAGTTGGCCATGAGGTTCCTTCGCGGTCTCCGATACACCATCCAGGAGGGAGTCTCCTCTGCTGACATGGTAAGCCTGAATGCCATTAAACAGGCTGCCCTGAGGAAAGAGAACCTGGAGAAGGCCAAGAGGGAATCCTGGAAGGAGAGGCCAGGTGATAGGAAGA